GCTACATATGTTCATTCCTCGTCATTTGAATAGCGCCCCCTTTTTTTTGATTTTCTACTATGCTTGACAAAATTTTTATATGGAAGAAAATGCGCAGCACAGTCAACAAAAAAAAGGTCGCCCCTAAGTTAATTTTTTTTAATTTTCAAAAATTTTTTAAATGGGATGTAGACGTGCTATATTTTTATAAAAAGTTAATGAATATTAAACAACCAAAAGGAAAACTGTACCTACTAAGTATTAAAAGGATGCGCTATTCAAATAACGAAGAGTGTATATTTCTTAATTATTAATCCAATACATATTACATATTACTTTACACGAAATATGAACCTCTGTAAAGTAAATTTTTTAGGCAAACTTTGGGTCGTTGAACACGAAAAAAATACCCATGGTTGCAAAGAAGTGTTTTCGAGATTTGTTCGAAAAACGTATATTTAGTACTTTTTCAGTTATTCCTCAATATCTCATGAAACGACCAACAGTTCGAAAGGTATTGATGGGCTCTTTCTGTGCAGATTGTGTTCCGTAACATCTAAATTTCTCATCAGATTTTCATTTACTGTAAAAAGAAAATGATTGACATTTCAATTTTTCGATTTTGGTCGCTTGTAACACTAATAATTTTCATCGAAATCGGCAAAGTAATATATTTTTGTAAGAGGACTGTAGGTCGCTTATGTTGATTGGATAATTTTTTCATGAGATATTGACGAATGGGTTTGAAAGGAAAATTGGCTTGGAAAATATTTTGTTTCTTAAGCGATTGCCACAAAATTTGTAGAACAGTTTTATCGATATATTTGATGCTGGTCTTTAATTTCTCGTCACCCATTGTCCATAACCGTACAATATTTAGAACGCATTGACTAGTTGAACCTTCAAAACCAGCTTACACTTATGTAGTTATCAATTAGTTATCGACACTGCTTTTATTTCGATAAGGAAAAGTTAATTTTAAAATATCGAAGAAAATGCGGGACAAAGGCAGGACACTTGGAAAAAATCAGTACATTGTGGGGGTTTTCTGTTTTGAAAAACTACGCAGGACAGACCTTTAAATAACAGTACGGTCCTGCAAAAAACAGAACGGATGGTCACCGTATCTATAACACAATACGTTCGACTGGTGTTTTTAATTTTATTGTTTCATCAGCGTCGCTGTGACAATTGCATTGTGCTGCTTTGCGTTGCGTTGCGTTGCACATTATTATGCGTCATGCTTACAAGTTTCACGGGCATGTTGTTGTTATTGTTCTTATTACTATCATCACAAACTACTACTTAATGCTGTAAGTGTACGCACGACAAAAAAAACGTGAAAAAATGTCCGTCCGCCTTTCACACCTCTACAATAAACTCTACAATTTATGCCACCATTTCTACAGCCTAACGCCACCATTAAGAATAAAACTCCACTTATAAATGCAAGCATTGACATTTAAACCAAATCGTCCGGCAAAATGAAATGTGCCTGTTTGTTGTGTCTGAGTACTGCGTCCAGCCCATCCAAAACTGGACAATGCTGTCTGGTGACTTCTGTCATTCGTCATGCGCCCCCAGACCGTTATAAAAGTAAGCACACATGTTTTTATGTATGTATGTGTACATGCGCCTATAGGCTGGTTTTCACTATGTCAAATTCAGTGGCATTTGCCGTCAAATAGGTGAAAACACATTATCCAATAAGATCAAAATGCGGTTTATCGATTAATTTGGATCAGGATAGGTCTTTAGTCGTGTACATGCGCTGCGAAATCGGTTGTATGTCAGTTTTTGGCCCATAATATCATCGGCAAAGGTATGGGTAAAGAGATAAAGTTGTGTCAAAATATGTCGCCAAATTTGTGTGTCAAAATATGACATAGTGAAAACCAGTCGTATGTTGGTATGAACTCCAAATCTCATGCTATAGAACAGAACAGAGTAACTTGTTATATTTGTAAAGTGGAGAAAATCAAGGTTTTGTGAAATTAATTTTTGTTTTTTGTTTCATATATTTTTGGTACCTCGTATTTCAGTTTTACTTTATGGCTGTCAGCTAATGGTTTCTAGCAAATGCACCTCTTGGCGTTGCAACCGGCTTAAAAGCTCTCAGCTCTAATAAAATGCTTGCCTGAGGTTTAATATGGTACCTACTCCATAAAAGGTGGTGTGGTTGGTTGTCTGTTGTAAAAACGGCCCTTATTGCTTCTTTGGCGATAGAGTTACCACTTCATCGAATAAACATGCTGGTTAACTCGTTTCAAGAAAAGTTGGGGCTTAAGATCTATTTGGAACCAAGGTATCTCAATCACGAACCTATACATAGAGGGTTAGGTTAGACGAACAGCTCCGGTTAAATACTTCTCTCTTAGACCGCACAGGCCCTTAACGCCCAGGAGTCAGACCTATCCCTACATATATTTAAACCATCCCCATTTTATGCCGAATTCTAGTAGACTATCTAATGGAGTTTCCTCTGAGCTGTCTAAGCTCTCGAGGAAGTGATTTCCCGGAAATTTGGGGCGCCTTCTCATGCATCTGTCTATCTATCTGTTGGTTGTATTACCGACTTCCAGTTTCGACCGGAAGTGTGTTAAACTGATCGGAAGCCTATAGGGCATAGATGTTTTTTCGACAGATTCGAATTCTGCGGACCAAAATACATAACTTTTGTAGGAAACTGTTTTCTGGATTAGACTTCCGGTTAAAAAAATGAACCTCAGATCGAAACCGGAAGTCGGTAATATGCCCAAAAGAAACGCATTCCCTACTTGCTGATTCATATTAGCCGCCATCGATTTGCCAACACTTGGCGAGTGGCGAAACGAACGATTTTAATGAGGTACATGCCATCGTCCATCGTTGGTAGCTAATTTTGTTGTTGCTTTCACACACAAAATGTTTCGTTAAGCAAGCGGAACTCAAACATAGCGAGCACATAAGTAGCGAATCGAGGGTGGCTATTTTTTCGTTTGCCAATAAAAACTCGTTTATTTTAGAAGTCCAGGACATGTTGTTCCTAGAAAAAAGTTTCAAACAAAAAAAATATTGAGCATCCCGACATGGTATATAAAATGTTTGCGTTTGCTAATCAAAAAACATTTTCCTCAATTTTAGAAAGGGAAGGGTGGTCTAGCACACCGTGTATACTATGACCTCTGCTCTTTTCAACATTTCTAAACCGAAGTCCTACATAAACTTCAGAAGAGCTTATTGTTGTAGGATGTAAATGTGCTCAAAAACTGTGGCCTCACTAAACTACTCTTACGTCTACCGTCATCGCACTCGACTAAAAGATGCGATGGTGTTGCATTGACCGAGTTCCAAAAGCGGCTGTTATCATTTTTTGTGCAGATTGCCGTTTCCTCTTCATTTTCTTTTTCTGGATGATGGGTTAAAAGTGGAATCTTTTCAAACTTCATTCGCCAAGTAAGCAATTTGCCTGTCGTTGTCCCGTTTAGTGTCCCTCATTGATATTTTCTCTTTCTGAGCTTTATTTTTTATTACATTTTGACCTTGCGGGAAAGTCTCATTTCGGCCGGATAGACTTGTTTGTCTTTGTAGCCTGTTACCCACGGTACTTGGATATAATTACTACCGTCAAGGGAGTTAAATGATTCCATGCACCAGAATACCTTTTAATTTACACCTACATCTTGGTCCTGGTATTATAGTTGTCTGCTTCTTTTCGAGGTAATAATGTACTTTCTCGTAAAACCATAAATACAGCAACATTTGACAAAAAGCTTACCTGCGTTCCTATACAATAATCCACCTACTGGCTAATCACGTACATCGAAATTCTAGAATCAAGTCGTTTTATCAAAAGTCTACGGATATTATACAAGTTTTTTAATGAAATCCTAGGCTTTTATAACTATGTAGACACATGCTATATATTTTTCTATAATTTTTTTTCTTGTTTATTTTTTTTTTGCAGAGGCAAATTCGCTGCTGTACGTCGCGCTATACACAAAAATTCTGGTGTACATTTTGCTGCCAAATTTCTAAAACGACGCCGACGCGCTCAATCCTCAGATAAGGAGATCAAACATGAGATCGCTGTGCTAATGCTATGCGATGGCGCCGACAACATTGTCAAATTAAATGCGGTGCACGAGTCACGCTCCGATACGGCGTTGCTGCTGGAACTGTAAGTGGAAAAGTCAATGAAAAAATATTAAAAAAAAAAA